GTTTTCATTCAAAAAGTACCTGTCGCACAAAGCGAACACGGGCAAAGTGGATATGATATCCACTTTGCCCAGTAATGATGTGGCTCGTTTATTTACTCCAGCATATTTAAAAAGTGCTACTGCCAATAATGCCATTAAAGGGTTTCAATCTCCAGGAATTTGGCCAATTAATATGGATATATGGGAAGATGAGGATTATGCACCATCCTCTACAACAATGATGAAACCTAATACCGCAAATACAAAAGCAGCATTTCATGAAACAACTAATCGAGATGTGTTAACTGCAACGATAGACCATGGCGCGGTGCCTACGACGTCAGAGTTTCAATGTTCATCTGGACCAAATAAAGCTTCGGAAAGGACAATGCCAAGCTTCCATAGAAACTTCGGCCAGAACCGACAGACAAGAGTGTTATATTATAAGAAAGGGGAAAAAATATAGAAAATTATATGCACATTATATCTTTAATAAAAGCTCACCAAAAAAAGTTATATTCAAAAAAGTTTTTATTTTTTTTCAACAATTTTCCACATTGTTTTTCATTAAAACAGCCTATTTATATACATTTATGGATTTAAGGTAAAGGACGAAACTTTTTAAGTCATAAAAAGGATCTGTAAATTAAAAAACATGTAAAGATAAATATTTTTAATTATCAGTTGTATCATTTTTAGTTGTAAAAAATTATCTAAAAACTGTGCTGGCTTCCATATTTGACTGATATCTAGCCCATCCTAAATACCAAATGATCATCATTATGTGAGCACAGCAACATACAGTTCTACGCCCCACCAAAATTATTGTAGGTACACTTGCAAGTATTTTCCCTGGAATTCGAGACTGATATAATGTTATCATCATTAGAGTGCTCCAGCTCATGAATTGCCAATTCTTGAGAAGATGTAGAACTTGCAGATAGTGAAGATGGTGCAGTATAATTTACAAATAAACTATTACACTTTTGCCAACAAGGGTGACAAATTCTGTCTGATGGTCGGAGCTGAAAAGAAATAAAATCATTAGAAATATTTTTACATAATCATTTCCTTCAATGTTTATAGCATTTATTCTAGATAAAAAATAGTTTAGATTTTAATTTCGACCCAGGTAAAAACCCAATCAAAATCGAAATACATAATATTTGTGACAGCTCACAACAATTATTTAGTGCAAAACTAAGAAATCTCATACTATGACAACTAAAATCACACAGAATAATGGATGATACAACCACGATTCAGGTACAAATATTTGTGTTCATCACACAAATAAACGCCCCAACCATTCGAACCCAGAACCTCTTGAGGTGCCGCAACCTTAAGTTCTGTGTAGACACCACTCTGCCACAGAGGTCATCATTTGGGTTTGATTTTATATAAATATTTTTAAAGTACAGACACCATCCTATTAGTTTTTAAATACTATCTATAGTTAATTACATGCTCGGTTTGTTTAGATGTTTTGCATTCCATACAAAGCATAAGCATAATATAATGGTACATTATAATTGTCAAATAATTGACTTATTATTATTACTATAACTTATTTATTATAATGAAATGAATGTTGTTTCTACTTACTTGTTGTGGCATAATCCTTTTCGCAACAACAGATCTTTTATCAGTATTGTTAACATATGAGTTCTTATACAATATTAAAGATCTTCCACAATGTATACATACATTTTCATTACCAATACGTGATTGACTTATTTCAGGCACTTCATTTATAGTAACAACCAACACTCATGACACACCACACTGTTGCTTGGTATCTGTAGGTAAAATGTAAGGGTTAATATTAACGTTTTCAGTGATCTATGTTGATATGTAAATACCCACAGCATTTTAGTCGTACATGCATCGAAATACTTACGTCTAACTACGAATAAGCCGAGTCAACAAGAATAACAGGTTCAGTCCAAGTTAAAAGCCGATTCAACATGTCAAACAGATTCTGGTCATAGTTAAAAGCCGGGTCAATAATTAAGAAGTTTCAGATTCAAGTTCGAAACCGGGTAAATAGATAGAATAATAACGAAAACAACAGAAAGCACTGAACAACAAAGTGAACGAATTGTACCGCAAATGTAATGTTTATTAATGACTATGACAATTAAAAAAAGTGTTGCCATTAACAGATGTTAAATTGTTTTCAATCGATTAATATCGATTGTTAATAAATAATAAATCATATGTTATACTATGATTATTATATCTTTACTAATTATAGTTATGTAAAATAATAAGGAAAAATATTTTTGTGCAGTACCAAAGAGAAAAATATTATAACATGGCGTATTTATTGTACTTTTATTCACTTTCACAACTATTGATTAATTCATAACGATTATCGATTTTCGACGGATTAGTTATTTTAACTTTTTACTGGCAATTTTTTTGTAAATGGCGTACTTTTCACGTAATAGTCGTTGATTAACTTTACTAAAATTACTCGTAACGGTGTGCTTTTTTTAAATCTATTCATAGTTGATAATTTAAAGTATTATAAAATATAAATTGCAATGATAATGTATTGCTTGTCGGCGACAAGCCGTATTTTGGCATTCTCCTTTATGATCATGATTTTAGTGACGAAGAGGTCGAACCTGCTGGACCTATTTGTGTAACAGTTCAAGTTCATACCTCAACAATGAGAGAAACGAATGATTCGGCGTTAGAGTCTGTCTTTTATCCCGGAATTAGCGAGCCTGGAGGAGTATCGCCAACAATAATTCCAGAAGTAAATCAAGAAGATCCATTTAAAATCTCTAAAAGCCCTACTAGATATTTTACTTCTAACATTCAGCAAAGCAGAGATCAGTGCTACAGATTTAATGAGTACTTCGACTTTACTTTCAAATAAAAACCTGCAATATATCAGACTTCACCTGCCGCTTATTTGAGTCCAAGAGAAAACCACTTCCAAGTCCTTACGTTCCCATGGGAACACGAAAAAGATATATTCAAAGGTCTGAGGTGCTTACTAGCACACCGGTTAAGGGAGAACAGAAAGTTAAATTTGTTAAAGCAAATACCAAAGCATTAAAAAATATTAACAATAATTTTAAAACAAAGACTAGACCGAAGAAAAAGACCAACATAACCAAAAATATTGAAGCGAGAAACACTAAACTTAAGAAATTTGAAACTAAAGAAAATGACGAAAACTGCACGTGCTATTTTTGTGGGGAAAATTATGTTGAAGTTAATGGGCAGCCAGTTGATGATTGGATCCAATGCAGTTCCTGCAAGAAATGGAGCCACGAGAAATGCACGGCATATGAGGGAAAGGGCATTTTTCTTTGTGATAACTGTACTGATAAGTGATTAGTTACTTTTTTGATTTTTTTGTTATCTTTACTATATATTTTATTCGTAATTGTTCCTAGTCTGATTGTGTTCACTTTGCCCTTTGGTTCTATCCACTTTACCCGATGGGTTGGGCAAAACGGATAGAAGCGAAGGATGCAATTTAATCAAATTTTTTAAGAAAAGTTATTAAGTTACGTTTTTGTTTGTTGATTTCTTTTAAACTTTAATAAAGACTGATTCATATTCCGTCACTATTTTATTTCTATGTCTAGTAGATCACATTCCATAGTCTTTCAAAGCTTAAGATGTCCGCTTTGCCCGGACTTCCCCTATACTTATTAATTAAAACTTGCACTAATTTTATGTTAAAATATTTTGATAATGGTTGGCGCTGCTGCTGAACTTGACTAGTTTCCGAATTCAGTGATAGTATCAGTGAAAACATATCTTAAGAATACTATTTTAAAAACCAATCTACATAAAAAGATACTTGCCAGAGAAGATAAGTACAGTGTGGGTAATGATGAACTGTATAACAGTGTATATTTTTAAAATTTTCAAAAAGTCTGGATTATAAGTCTACCTAATACTAAGTAGCTAAGTAATCGAAAAATCTCAATTATTTTGTCTCTTTATTGGGCTAATATCTATATCATCAGAGGTTCATCACATAAATCGTTAAGGAGCGCAAAGACGACAAACATACAAACGTCAAATTGTATTTTTTCGGATACGGCATAAAAACGTAACAACAAATAGATTTGATATTTACTCCCTAACCCGGTCCTGTCTGAACTTTCATACAAACTAGTGAAGCACTTAGCCCCCCATAATTCGGACTTATTATAAAAATCTTTTTAACTTATATTTTCAAAATAAAACAACGTAACGTAACGTAAGGCAACGTAGTAAGTTGCCAAATTTCATGTTAGTAATTTTAATATTTTTCAGATATCATGATTAGCTACCAGCTCATGTAAACATATAATAATAAAACTAAACTTTCTAGCTTATGGTATTACATTTAAATTAAACCATTTATATAATAATTTTCAAATCTATATTCGGACTATGTCGATATATTTTGTTACGATGTCGTTGTACAGCACTATGGAGAAAAAAAGGAGATGACTACTGATGGGAAATCAATGCTCCAGAAAGAGACGGCATGGTAGACATCAACGCGCTCCTTTCAGAAATAATAATTTGTCATTACTTTTTTGGTTGTATTTTAATTTCAAAATAAAGATAGATCATCACTCACCTGCGGAATTGTATCCTATCTCTCGTGTAACTTGATGTCATAATGCACTTTCACCACCATTTATAAAGTGCACTTAGGCATTTCTTCTAATTGATTTTAATTTAAAAACGAGAGAGCGTAACGTACCAACCCTTGCTTTATTATAACTTCGACTGACGGAATAACTCGTTAGTGCACCTGAATTAGCTTACTATTTTCGAAGTGCTTGCCCCCGCATGTTCACTCCATTCTACTCCATGGCCCTTCTCCACCCAGGTGCATTTTTGCTCTCAAAGTTGGTAACACTGATTATGAGTCATGTCAAGTCAAGTCATTATCTGTCTGAGTCATTTGATTGACAATTAGTGTCAAGAAACAAAAGAAAAACAAGCGTGGTGATTTTGTTCAGCAAATCAACAGAGCGGCATTTTAACGAGCGATGGCAGATCCTAGAATTCGTCAAATCAAAATAAAGACCGGCGTCGTTAAACGCATTGCCAAAGAGAAAGTTGTTTACGAAAAAGAGGCGGAACAACAGAAAAATAGGATACAAAAATTAAAAGACGACGGTCAAGATGAGCACAACATTCGGAAACAAGAGGAAGTGTTGCAGGAGTGTTTGATGATGGTACCTGACTGTCAGAGAAGGTATAAACAATATTTTTATCAGTTTAATAAGTTTTAAGTCTGATATGAAAAGTTTCGAGCTTGTAATAATTGTTAAAAACCATTTTAGAAAAACAGATGTTTTGAGGTTAGGTTTACGACGGGGAATGATGCAAATATTTCTTTTATATAGTGAAAGTTAAATATTTTTTTAAATTTGCATGAATGTACATACGTCTTAAATGATGATTTTTAATATTTCTTTATATAACTTATAGGATGTAAGGTAGTTGCGACAAATTTTACCACTAAAGATTTTGCCGAATATTAATTAGGTTCAAGTTATTGCAAATGAACTTCTTTTATACCAATTACTTTAAAACTAATACCTGTATCAATCAATTTTGCATTCACAAAGTTATACTGAAAAATATTCTTAATGAAAGTACTTAAAAATCACTTTGTCCCTGGTACTGAAGGGTTCATCTCAGAGTGCCAGACACAATAATTATAATCATGTACTTATTTTCATTTCTAGATTAGTCAAAGCATTTGCTGATCTTAAAACCACTCTGGAAACTGAGCAGGATCTCAAAGAGAACGAAGATTATATTGCCGCTGAACAAGTGTTGAAAGACGCTGAATGTCAATTGCCTGAAACTGTTGCATCATAATAATTATTTTATACATTTTTATTGCTACTAGTACTTATTTATATCTGCAATCATGTCCTATAATTGTAATATGTATAACAACAATCAATTTGGAAATGAATTTACATTCCCATGCAACTTCCGGCCTCCAACTGTACCACCGCCTCCACCACCGCCAATGTTTTATATGCCACCACCGTTACATGTACCCACACAGATTCCTATCAAGAATGTGTCTGATCAAGAGTTCATTAATTCATTCAAAGACAGGTTCACTGAAGAAAAAAAGGTTGGAGAACCAAAACCAAAAGAATCTATTTGTAAAGTGCGTGATATGCTACGGAACTTGGTGATGGAATTAAATGAGGTGAAAAAGCTGGAAACTGAACTATCACAGATAATCAACACATGTTCTGATGATGAATGGAAAATGAAGCTCAATGAAATCAATCACAAAAAAGGTGTTATTAATGGATATTTATCAGGAATCAATGATTCGAATTTAGATGAGTTAAGAAAGCAAGTGGCAAGGAGGACTGCAAAGAGACTTCGATTGAAAAGGCTAGGTGCTGAAAGAAAGAAGGAGAAGGAGGATAGAATCAAACAAATGAAAGAAAAGTCCAGGAAGATTGATGAAAACTTGCAAAAGATAAAAGACAATATTAATAAAGCAAAGCAGGTAAATTTCTATTTTGTTACTTTTTTGAGAACTCTTGTTGAATGGCTATGTAGATCAAAAAATCGCAATGGTGACTAAAAATATTGCAGAATACTCCTGAAGATTTTCTTTGATTATGCACATTTTATATTAATGAGTATGTTTATATTAATATTTGTAATATTATAATTGTAAGTGATTGTTAAATTTCACATTCCTAGAAACAAAAAGCAGCCCTTGCTGTGTTTTATGAATAACTATAGATTTATGAATGTTACATACATTTATTCAAAAGTGCTTATGAAATTCAAAATAACAATTTAATAATATAATAATAAACTTTATTGGCACTACCAACAACCCATTCTGATTTATAATTGTTAAGGTATAAATAAACTAAACAAAAAAAAAATACAATACAATAGAAAAATTAGAAGAATAATGAAACATTATGTCGACCATGTGCTGCAGCAGTGCAAACAGGTATAGGCTCAGTATACGATTTGCACACATAGTAAGAAAATCACTGATATTCTGCCATAACCCTATGAGCAGCAACAGTCTCCAAAGCGCCACATGTTAAAGAACATGTACATGTACATAAATATAAATATACAGTACAGTACCATAAGGACAAAACTGTATTAAAATAGCCTAGATTGATTTAATGGAATACCATAAGCTAATAAGCTTTTAACCATATTCATTTAATTTTTAAATAATGTAAACTTTATGATTTAAGGAAGAAGAAGCAAAACTGCAAGCAGATATGGTTTTGAAAGAAGTTTTACGTAAAAAACATGACGCAAGGAAATTCATCAATAAGTTTGATGCATTGAAGAAACTTCGAAAAGCTCGACAGAATACACACAAAGGCAGGGGAGAAAATGTATCAGAGAAGGAAATGGATGAATTTGTTACTAAAATAGATAATCTGAAAGCACTATGGGTCCAAAAACTGTCAGATTATGAAAAAGAAGAAGCAGAACTACAGAAAACATTACAAAATAATGCTGATGAGAACCAAGAGATCAATGAAACAGAAAAGGCGGTAACAACTAACTTGGCGCAGTGGAAGGAGGCATTGTTTGGTGATGAGGATGCCATGCCACAATTTAACTTTAATGGAGATTTAGGAAGATTTGTAACTGTCAGGTGATTGATTTTTTGTTTTTAATTATAGTTGTCCTAATTAAATAAATAAATAAATAAATAGTGTAGAACGGCTTATACTGACTCCTATTATGACCTTATATGATAATAGAAAGCTCATACGGTCAGTATTAGTAATGAAATACTTTCTCCGAGTAGTCAATTTTATAGCATTCAATATCATTAATGCTGTTAAAAACTTTTTAGAAAGTTGCTATTAGTTTGCAAAAGTAACTGTAGGGGATCTTTTATCTGTAGTTTCATTGCACATAGAAAAGTAGTTAATACAAGCTTTATTATATTTTAGTTGAACACTTTTACTATTACATTTTGTCATTTTTTGTGAATCACAATAATTATAAAATTGGTTATATTTCCAGATCACAATGGGATCGTTATATAAGTGAAGAAGGTTCTTCCATACCAGTGGGATGGTTGTGTCCGACCAGTCGGCATGATTCTTTGTAGTGATTCTTTGTCATGGTTTTCAATTACTAAATTGGTAAATACTCTGTTTTATACATAATTATTATTATATAAGTATTATTTGTAGGAGTTGTAATTATTATAAATACGCGGCCTTAATTTTGCAATGTGATTCTTGTGCATTTATTATGCTTGAATAAATTTTCTTTTTACAAAAAACCTTTAGTTCTTTTCAATCAATAAAAGCGTGCAAACGTAACACGTGGCATCGGTTAACATAGGGAACAAGTCAATTGTCTGACAATACAATAAAAAAGCCAAAAAATAGTTTTGCCTTTAAATCATAATATGCAATTTCAACTTTATTGCAATGAAAGAAATGTCAACAGCAAAGTAGTCGTATATCGTGCGAGTGGGTGTCACTAATTTATGTGGTATATAAATTCTCTACCAAATCAATGGCAAAAAAGCAAAACAAAATTATCTCGATTTTCATATGGCAATATAGATTGTCAACTGTTGAAAAGATCAATGAAACTTCTTGATTTTAAAGTGTGTTTATGAATTGACCGGTAACTAGCAATGACAAGTCTCGATACTTATTCTTTTTTAAATAATAAATTTATCAATATTTGTTGGCGTGTCGACTACTAATATAAAATATATTATTAGCGAAGGTGAAGATATGAAAGCGTGTAAAAATACACGCCGAGGAAAATAGGAACGGTGAAAAGAAAATAAATTAACACGAATTTAATTTAGAAGTGTAAGCGTGAAGATGTGTAAGACAGTTGCAATTTTAGTAGAATCTAAAAATTCATAAAGGAAAGCTTCTTTTATTTAGTCGTGATTCCGGGTCAGGTAAAATATTATTGGGTTTTTCTGTCTGGTTGGGTGCTGTCAATATATAAAATTCGATGTTGGTGAATGTACAGGTGTATATTTGTGTACTATGTTATGTCTTACACAGTTGGCTCGACTATGTCAAAAAATATCATTATAGGAATTCGGTCAGACAGGGATATGGTCAATCCCATGAGGCAGTTACTAAAAAGTTTGCATTATATTAAAATATTACTATCTTTATCCTTTTACCCTAATGTTGCCTTCTACAAATTAATATTTCCCTAAACGCCTATCAGATTCTGGTACACCTACAGGACGTGCGTTACGGTGTTTTAGAACTTAACTGCGATTTACATACTTTACATATTCCGTAGCACAAACAGATTCCATTAAGGCTTAATGACGTCTTCAAGCTCTAATAACGTTCTAAATTTGCCAGCAATGTCGCTTTTAACTAATGACAATTTTAGTGGACGTTTGTGCTACTGGGTATAAGAACCGTAACAGTTATATGCCGCTCGAAGCTCATAATAAAACTCAATCTTTTATAAAGCTATAAAAAAGAAAAAAAGAAGAAAGACGATTTATATTCAAGTCTTTTATTTGTCACTTCCAATTTCTGGATAATCAGTATGAAATTATATGAAAAAACACACCAACACATTTCGCTTGAGATATCAGATAACCTACGTTAGCGCTACATTACAACTAATTTTACAGGTAATTATTTATAAAATTGGTTTCACATTATTGCTAAAGTTTCGTCATAGAATGACACCGACAGTCACACGACAATGTCATTTTATATCGAGTAATGAGCAGGAGCGAGATAGTACATATTTAAAATTTAAGTTATTCAGTGACGTCAGCGCGTGGTTTTAATATACATTATATGGCTCTTCGGGAGCTACTTTTTGATGCTAAAAGAGCCTCCTCGCGATAATCAAGCCAATTTACTGTTAAATAAAGCAAAAACTATGTTGTCAGTTTTTGGAGCGTGTAAATAAATACAAAATAACGCCCTCTGTTATCTAGATAATGTACAAATACTGTAAAATTTGAAGTGATGCATATAAATGCTGTATCTTTCTAACATTGGATGAATTAGCGTTTCAGTGGGCAAAGGTTGAACTAACTTTAATACACAAAAAACAAAATGTCCAAATTTTAGTAAACAACATGAATTCACAATTTAATGTAACAGTTATATATCTAAAATAATAAATTTCATAAACATACACGTGTTAGGCTCGGCGCCCATTAGACGGATGACAAGGAATCGTAACCGTTCCATTAATATAATACCTGCATTGCATTAAATTACATCACTATTTGTATGCTCAATATTCTTTAGCTTATTGTCTCGACAGTCGATGGCATTAGGTCGCCGTTTTGTAATCTGAAACGCTTTGAATTTAGAAGTATATTCATTGCAGATAAGTAAACTTCCGAACTACATAATTATATTCTATCTCACTCCACACGCACAGCAAACACCATTATCTCACCAAAGTGTCAAATTTATTCAATCGCATAGTATACTTTATCGTTTAAAAGTTCCAAATCGACTGGAGATATTAGACACTTCGATATAAATCTGATGTACTGCTGATTTATATTGAGGTAATACGGCATACACGCTATTACAAAATCGATTCACGCACTAGTTTGCATCGGGCGTGTTTGCTAGCTAGTGTAAATTATTATATAGTTTATACCCTTACTAATAAGCAATTTATAACAGTTATCTAGTCTTCCCAGCGTTCTCAGACAACTTTTAGTAAAAGTAAATGAGATAGAACACGGTATTCCATAATGCTTATGCATTGTTTATTAGTAAGGGCATCGCTTAAGGGTCGGTGCAGGCGGAAGATACGTCAAGGGTCTCGCATCTTCCGTTGAGTGTGGAAGGTTGAATGTCATATGATATACTTGTCGGTGTTGACGTTCCGCGTCCGCCTCGCGACGTATCTTCCGTCAGATACCCAACTCTTAAATTAAATACAATCAGACACCGCTAGTAAGCGATTCAATATTTAATTTGTCTATTGAAAATGCGAGAGCAATAATGCCACCAGGATCGATAGCAGATGTAAAAGAAACTTGAAAGGTACAGTAAACAGTACGTCAGGTTGAACAAAGTTAACAAATTTCCTCACTTGACTTTAAACCTCAGGTACCGGTTAGAATACGTTGTGTAAAATTTCATTACATATTGTGGTAACCCGACGTGCAGCCGTGCGTGCAATAAAACAAGTAAACGTTTTTTGAACAGGAAAAAATTACTATCGGTGCACATATATTTCTCCGTCGTATCGTACATAGAATAATTACAAATATATTTTTTTAATGTCACACGAAAGTAAATAATTTAATATTTATCGGCAATTAATTATAATAGCAGCGTACAAACTATAGACTGATAAAAATCGCCAACTTTCAGGTAAAGTAACAACAACTTTCCTTGTTATCTCTGGTTATGAGAGATATTAGAACGTGCATATGATTTATAGTAACAAAGATAATATTGAACTTTATGCGGTGATTATATTTTTTTCCTGTACTGGTTTTTATTTTGTTGTGCTTTATGTAAATTCCGTCAAGTGTGTCACACAAGTATCCTATACGTTCGTACGTAACGGAATTTCCGTCAATTGTACAAGGTTCCACGAAGATCTTTTTATAGATATGCATCGACCTTTATAAGAAGTTTTCACACACGTTTTTTTGCTAGACATTCCAATACATTATATACTTAACAATAATTATCTTTTTCCCACTCGCCGCAGCTGATAGGAGTGCATTTTCTTTCGCACTCGCTATGAATCTATTGACATAATAATATTCTAAATCCGATAGAATGGTTGATTTATTTAAGAGCTTAATGAATAAAATTGAGCCCGATCTAAACGAGTGTTAGTTTTACAGTAAAATCAGTCTAATTGAAAGATTATTCAGCTTGGTGATTATATTATGGTGAAGTTATTTTGACTTAAACATTAAACATGGCAATTGCAGTTTTTAATAATATTCAAATAGATTAATGTATGATGATTTGGTAACTAATGTTCGTATAGTGTGTATGTTATCTAAATGTAATCGTTACTGTGAATAAGATTTTGGCCACATCAGAACGAAACTATTTAATTAATAATATTTTCAATTGACGAACTCTGTTTTGAAAGTAAACACAATTTTGAGAAAAGGTAGGTACTATAGAAATCGATATTATAAATCTAAATATATAAAAAAATTATAATGTGAATTTAATTTATTTTATAAGGCCCATTTACCGTATCAATATTTGACAAATATAAAAATCCTCGAGTATTTTGGTGTTTATATTTGCTCCATTTTCTAATTAAAAATAAAGTTACGGTATCCAAGTATGTGCTGTGTGTGCATCTATAATTTTTTTTTATTATAAATGCGAGATTTGTTTAAAATTAAGTTTCAGGAATTGAAATATAAAACCTTGGTCAGGCGAATGCGCATGTGTCCTAGGGTAATGTATCGCCACATGTTTGTCGGCCTCTATATAATATTGACTTAGTAATCTCATTTAAATTATATCTGGAAGACAAAACAAAACCATAAGTCATAATAATAAGTGTTTGATTTAACTGCTTGCAGTAATTACAAACAACTTATTGATCTATTATTCTAGTATCAGTTTTTCTAGTAACAGAACCCGGTTTTAGCTCCTTTTAGGAATCCAAGGCGTTCTAACGCGTACGTAAATATGAACGCTTTTTAAAATGTTACATAATGGCAAAACTAATGCCGTTAACAGCTGCGAAGATTCATAGTTCACATCGTCGCGACTTTAAAACGGTCAAATCCGGGTCGTTTGCCCTGTGTACTCGAATATACCCAAAGAAAACATAACGGTTAGAAAATTAACGGTTTAATTTATAAAACTTTTAAATGCAATCAAATGTATGTCGATCTTTGTGAACGGAGGAAAACACTGCATTTATTGTGATTCTTGACAGTTCTCGTCAGACTTGCTTTAGATCTGCTTTTTCTAACCTCCTCTGGTCTACGGACCCCTAGACAATCAAGCAAGATATCCCCCCCCCCCCCGATATTAAAGAAAGTAATATATGTCTGGCCACTTTACATCATACAAAAAAAAAACAAATCTATGAATGGATTTATATAAATAAACAGGTCTTAACACTTCAAGTTACTAATATCTGTGGCTTATTTTTATTGGTTTATGGACTGATGACAACGAGATACTGCAGTTGCCCGCACTCCGCCACTCCGATGTCATTGAGCCATAACACATATCTTAATATATAATCTTTAAACTTTTATCTGTTTACATTTTCTTCAATTTTGATGGTCATATAATGTGTATACTTTCAATAGTGTTGCTTGTAGACTTCTAGTGTACTGATACATTATACGTGTATTATTTATGTTGGAATATAGACTGACATTAATATGATCACCTTGGACTCTTCAAAAATTTTAACAACAGTATTATGGGTATAGAAGTCCCGAAACGTGTGTCTTAAGACATATAAAAAATCTAGCCAGATTTCATATCGAGTGTAATATAGGAAAAAAAATATCTGAAATTTAATTTCTCTTAACAAAAATCATTAAATGTAAATATTATTTCCGTTCTCTTTGGAAATATTAAAATAAAAAAAGTATATTCAATTATTTTGACAGAGTTTAAGTACATGAGTGAAAAAATAAATGAGAAAAAAAAACTGATGTGATTATGCTAAACCGTTTACATTATTCGGTATCTTTGTAATTTTTTTCTAATCAGATCGATATGGTTTGTTTAAATACTCCATCATTCTGCAGTTTTCTCTCTATGCCCGTATATAATGTAGTAATCTCTTGTTTAAAATCTGTAATTATATCTTTAATATCAGAAAACAGCTTTTAATTTAAAACAATAAGGATGTGAAATACTATAATAATATTTTTAGTTTTATATTTAATATAAAGGAACACCGAACCGTATACACTGAATTTAAATTTATATCGAATACAAAAACGAGATCAGATCTCGTATAGATAGGGACCGGATTATGCGACGGCAAAATAATTACAAGGTACAAATAAATAATCATTACCATAAATAATAATTAACTGAAAAAATCTAGAATAAAATGCAAATGGAAACTATTTCATAATTCAACGCGACTATCCACACGTGTCACCTACGGCATCGCACGGAGCGAGCGTGACGGTCGTAGCACACAGCTGCAGTGCTACGAGAGACGGAGCGCATATTCGTAGCAACAGCCGGAGCCGCGCGCCAGTGATAGCGTGACGTCACTGTCAGCTACGAGGGGGCTACGGCCACTACGGGCACTACGGCCACTACTGCCACAGGCCCGCGTAGTTGCCGACGAGGGGCGCGGGCAGCGGCCCCCCCGCGGTGAATATCCTGGTACCGCTGTGGTCGTAGCAGTGCGTGTATATCGCGGGCACGTACTTCACCTGGTTGAACCCGTCCGCCTCCTCGTCAGGGAACTGCGGGTACAGTTGCGGGAATACCGACTTATAAACACCGCACACGTAAACGATATAATACCTATAGATACTTAAATCGATACCTCCCGCGTATAATGTCTTAAGGGGCCGTCCATTAATCGCGTGATGTTTCCTTTCAGCATTTTTTAATCCCCCTCCTCCTTGGTGATACATGGAAAAGTTTAAGACACCCCCTCTAACAAAAAAAATTTCGTGTATTTTTAGTATCTTCTTTTAATTTTTGGCGACGCTTTTCGGTTTAGTAATCGCGTGTTTAAGAAACAATCAATACACGTGATATATAACTACCGAACCCCCCTCCCCCTTGTGATATGTCGTGGTTTTCCCCCCATTCGAGCCTCACGTGATTAATGGACGGACCCTAACTAAATTCAAGACTTGGAATGGCAATAGAAACAGAATAAACAGGGCCTGCTAATAAGTGGGGATAAGGCAGGATGCTAGGCTAATAAATGTAATGACGGGCAATTTAAAAAAAAGCTATATTCCAGAGTAAATTGAATTTCATCAACTTTAGTACGGCCCGATAATTTTTAAACTACAGTCATGGAGCATACGATTTGCTACGTAACAGTAATAACATTCAACTTCTTTGTTGGGTGTGTACCCAGTACTCATATTCATTGAAATGTGACGTCACGGCTCAAAATATCACGTGGCTGACTGTTTTCGCGAAATTTAAATAGATGAATAAAAATATGTTTTTCCATTATTTAATAACAATTTTTCGAGAAAAATAAATCTGATGGTGGTTTAATATTATCATAATGAAACCTTTAAAGTACTTTTCGAAAATCAGTCTAGCAACCATTGCCACATCATACATTCGAATTCATAAAAAGCCTAAAGTTTAAAAATGTTTTTTGTTTCCCGAAACTTTAAGTGTATTAATATTTCGTAAAATATAGTTACGAACATAGATACGCAGGAGGTGTCTATATAATATAAATAACTTTGTAATCTTTTTTTTTTTATTTACATTAACGGTGTATAAATTTTTCTAAAGATGATATAGTTTCTTTACTATGAACAAATGTATCAAATTTGAATAGAGTCAAATTATTTTTGCATTATAAACCTTACCCTCATCGATGTTCAAACAAACACTGGTTATATGTGTTCGATGTTAACTTGATTTAATTATTAATGAATATAACAAATTTAAATATGAAAATCTAATATGCAACTTACTACATAGCCCCTCGAAGCCCTCAGAGTGACGGTCTTCGATGAATGTATGTTACTCTCCAAGTATTTGCCCGCTCTCAGGTCATAGAACATTAGTAAGCCTGCAAAATTATATTAAGTTAAAATTGAACTCTTAAAAACAAAATTATTTATAGTGAAAAATAATTTAGTTACTGTGATTATTTGCTTATTTCTGAAGCATCTAATACTTTTATCGCTTATATGCTTATTCGCACTGATGTTTAATTAAAATATAACAGAAATTCATGTTTCTTTTTTTTATCCTTGTTTAAAGATTTACTTTTATTTTTAAAGAAATTTAAGAAGGTTAAGAGAGCAACAAATAACTATAGATAAGTCGCAGCCGTTGTATGCATGTATCCGTCGGAGGGTAACGGTACCTAGTCCGGTCCCGATGGTGAGCGTGTCCCCCCGGAAGCTGGCGGAGCGGAAGCCGCAGTCGTTGTATGCGAGTACCTGTCGGAGGGTAACGGTACCTAGTCCGGTCCCGATGGTGAGCGTGTCCCCCCGGAAGCTGGCGGAGCGGAAGCCGCAGTCGTTGTATGCGAGTACCTGTCGGAGGGTAACGGTACCTAGTCCGGTCCCGATGGTGAGCGTGTCCCCCCGGAAGCTGGCGGAGCGGATGCCGCAGCCGTTGTACCGCGACGTCACCTTCTTGACGGACTGCAGCGTGCGACAGTCCAGCAGCAACGTGTACGACTTGCATCCGATCGCGTACACGCCCTTCTCCTGCTGCAGAAACATCAGGAATCATCATTCATTACAAAATTATCGAAAACTTAATTCATGACCGGAGGTCGGAATTAGGTAGAGTTATTTATGTACTTGCATCGAAATGTTGATATTAATGTGGACCTTCCCGGGATTTCTTTATTTCTTTCTTTCATTGATGTAAGTTTGGCAACGTCGTGCGTGCAGTAGTTTAAATTGTGTAAAAGTAAATAACTTTTTATTTAAAAAATCACGAGATATTTTCTGCTTTTTAAAATTAATCTCGGGATTTTAGGTATATCCACTTTATTTTTTCGCTGTATGAAATCAGTGTAAGTACAAGAATAACTCTACCTAATTCCGACCACTGTTCATGACATATTGTTATGTTGAAACTTTTCAATATCTATCGTCTATTACTTAAATAACGTTTAAAGATAAGACCGAGAATATATCATTTCTAAATTATTAATTTAAATTTGGCGCCAGAAAACAATATTATGAGACACTATAGGCGTAAAATTTTTGAAACATCGTACTTTCTCGGTGAGCTGCGCGCGTTTTTGTTCAAATAAATGAATCGTGTGTTTAATTTTCATGTGCAATTATGGGTGCAGGCAACCTTTTTGTATTTTTTTTATAGATAGATATAAAATAAATCTAAAAAAATATATAATAAGTAATATTCATTAATTCCATAAATTATAATTAAAAATAAATTTAATTCATCACTTGTTACTTTTTCGCTACAACAGAGTGTATTCTCATCAATGTTCAAGCAATTTACCCAAACAGTCGAAAAAAATATTTAAACAAATATTGAACCTTTCGATAAAGATGAAAATTATTCTAATTATTATATCTGATCAATTTCTGTCATGGCGTTGCTATGACGTCAGACCCCTCTAACACTAATATTGTGCTATGTATGCATAAGGTTTAATTCTGTAAGCTCTAATATGAGTAAGAAGGGCGTGACGTCACGCGCTGTTTGCGGTCACGTGACAACGAGTGTAAAATGTTTGCATGCGAAATAGAATTCAAATCTTCCGAGAATACGTCGTAAAGTTCCTTTAAACTACCACACAGTCTATCGCTGTGTTCTAGGCACTGTTCGATAGTTTTAATAAATTGGTTTATTTACATATGATTTATATCACTCTGACAGGACGTCTCGCGACCGCTGCGCCGTTCGGTGAGGAAATAACGGGAGTCCCGTTTATTTCGAAAGCGATACGGCGCTAGTGGCATCCGATTCCATTTTATAACTTTCAGATATCGATGAATTCACTATCAAATTTCTGCATAATTTTAAATACATTGCGAAGGAAATCTCAGAAATTACAAGTGATAGGAGTTTAAAATTTTGCATGCGGATTCTTTTTAGGACGTAGGATTTTACGAAATCCGACCCCTAAGGGGGTAAATTAGGGTACTAGACGAGGCGGGCTGGCTAGCGTGGAGCATACCTGCGTGGCGAGGCAGACGAGGTCCTGGCAGGAGGGCAGCTTGCGGGACAGCTGCTGGCGGAAGGCGGGGCGCTGAACTAGACGAGGCGGGCTGGCTAGCGTGGAGCATACCTGCGTGGCGAGGCAGACGAGGTCCTGGCAGGAGGGCAGCTTGCGGGACAGCTGCTGGCGGAAGGCGGGGCGCTGAACTAGACGAGGCGGGCTGGCTAGCGTGGAGCATACCTGCGTGGCGAGGCAGACGAGGTCCTGGCAGGAGGGCAGCTTGCGGGACAGCTGCTGGCGGAAGGCGGGGCGCTGAACTAGACGAGGCGGGCTGGCTAGCGTGGAGCATACCTGCGTGGCGAGGCAGACGAGGTCCTGGCAGGAGGGCAGCTTGCGGGACAGCTGCTGGCGGAAGGCGGGGCGCTGAACTAGACGAGGCGGGCTGGCTAGCGTGGAGCATACCTGCGTGGCGAGGCAGACGAGGTCCTGGCAGGAGGGCAGCTTGCGGGACAGCTGCTGGCGGAAGGCGGGGCGCTGAACTAGACGAGGCGGGCTGGCTAGCGTGGAGCATACCTGCGTGGCGAGGCAGACGAGGTCCTGGCAGGAGGGCAGCTTGCGGGACAGCTGCTGGCGGAAGGCGGGGCGCTGAACTAGACGAGGCGGGCTGGCTAGCGTGGAGCATACCTGCGTGGCGAGGCAGACGAGGTCCTGGCAGGAGGGCAGCTTGCGGGACAGCTGCTGGCGGAAGGCGGCGGCGCTGAACACGTGGATGTAGCCGTTCAGCGTCAGCGCCGCGATCTCGCGCCACGACGAGTTGAACGTCAGCGCGCGCACCTTCTGGCCTGGGGGAGGACATCTCGTCAACTATCATTGGGCTCGACGTTTCGAATGGAGTTTACAGTTATCATTATTATTTCCCGTAGTGGGAGGCGTGATTTGGGCGCTGGACGACTTTAGATATGGTTAAAAATATTTACAATGTCGATATTAATACTTAGTTTTTTTTTTTAAGTACAAATATACTGTCAATTTATCAACATCCAGCTACAAAATTGTATTTCTGATAACGGGGTCTAGAAATTATTCAGGAACATAATATTCTTAAAGGGGAAATCGATATTAATTTATTCCAGGCACTACCGATGTAGATGAACAGAAGAATACATAAATGATAATTACCGGCGCGGCACTCCCTGAGCGCGAGCGGCGCCACGTACTGGTGGTGGGCAGGCGCGGGGGCGGGCGAGGGGGCGGGGCCGGGCGCGGGGGCGGAGTCGGGCGAGTCGGGGGCGGGGCCGGGGGCGGGGTCGGCGGGCACGCGCCACAGCGCCAGCTTGGAGTCGCGCGACCCGGTCACCAGGAATTCGTCGTCCAGCCAGCACATGTCCAGGATCTGGACACAATCACCCCACATAGTCTCAGTAAAAAATTACTAATAATAAAAAATTGGAAATTTAAAGCCCCTAAATTCTAAAACGTGTAATCGTTTTTTAAATATTTCACCCAGATTATAATCATTCAAAGATCTGCGAATCTGCAAGTATAAAAATCTGTTTCGTTTGAATAAACACATTTTTAAATCTGTACGGCATGAAAATATAAATTTTCGCTTTCGCGCGCTTCACCCGTCTCATTGTATACATAGGAGAAATCTCCTCCGATCGGATCTAGCCATTTAACCCCCAGGAACACCTATACGTTCGTCGTCCTTTATAGCAACGATGAAACCACCATATGAGTCATAATGTGCTAATCCTGACTTCTGAATAAATTTTATGATTCACGTTATCTCAAAGTTAATATTTATTAAACCCCTTGCTTTATTTTAATGCTGACATGTCGTCCCAAGGCATCGTATAGTATTTATTCAACAACATTTTCCCATTAGTTATTTTAAGACGATGCCTTATTAGACCTTTTAAAATCCAAAGAAATTCTGGAGAAAATAGTACACTATTGGATCGTTTCGAACAGTGATTCCTTAAGTGGTCCAGGTGGAACCCCAGGAGTCCACGAGGGATCAACGGGGGTTTACGTTGGCGTGAAATAAAAATAGGTATCTTCACATTTTGGACGAATTTTGGGAATATGACAAAAATGTAGCAGCAGGGGTCCACCAAAACCAGTAAATTTTTTAAAATGGTCTACGAGAAAAAGATATTTGGAAACCTCTGGTTTAGAGTTTCATTATGTGTATTAAAAATATTTTTTTAAAACAAAAAATTGCAATCAAATCGATTGATTCGATGTCGACTTCTGCTTTTAATAGTTTATGTACCAGAATATGGTACAAATGATATTAATTAGGTACATTCGTTTCACGTATTCTACTGATTACAGTGTGCAAATTTTTTACATTATGAAACAAGAGAATGCAATTATTAAATATTTACATATATGGCACCAATAATTTATCAATTATTATACGAATTATCTTTACAATTACTGGACAATTTATTTTTTCATATCAATAATTTATTTACTATTAATCCTCTCGTACAAATTTTTATTACACCGTCAAGATAAGTATATTTCAAATAATCATGGCAAAAATTTGTTAACTATCTTACTACTAATCTTATACAAATGTAAGTCCTTAATATTATAATTCATTGTGTTATAGTGTACGGTTCACTCACCCAATCTTTATGCGCCTCACCGACGCACACCGGGTCCAACGTCGGTAAACTGTATATGGCCAATTCGCACGAGTTCCTCGCACCCGTCGCCAATAACGTCCTGGAATAAAACCGCTTAGTATAATTGCCTAGTTGACTGTTTTGGAAAAAGTATTTAAAACTTTCATGTGATCATAAAAAACTACAATTGACTTATTTTTCTCCAAAAAGTATTATTAAATGAATTAAAAACATAATATACTAATTTCATTGCTTGTCCCGGCGAAAGCAATCAGTCACGTGACGTGTCCGCATGAGTACTAGTTGCACTCGCAACGAAGACGTTGACGGTATGATTGAAATATTACGTCAAATGATGCTGCTTCATGATCATCCGCGTATCGATTCTTGTAAGTCACAGATTAAAATCGCAAGTTAATTTTGCTAAAATAAAATATACTGACAATTTATTTTAAAACAACAAATACTATATAGTTATAGTTTACACATTCAAGATATTACATAATTTATTATTATACCCACCGAGTAGCTAATTAATATAGATTACGTTTCAAGAAGGAAGTCCCTTGGATTGTAACCAATTCGCCATTATTATAAAGGGCTATATTAC